AAACCAAACCCTTCATCCCAAAACTGGCATCCTCTGGAGAGGGGGATGGCTGCACCATGGGCTGCAGCCATGCAAAATAACTACAGCAAACAGAACGATCCTAAAGCAGTGATTGCTGCTTGGGAAAAGCAGCATGTAAAAGGCTGCCCAAACACTGTGATCCTGGAAGATATGGAGCAGCTCTGGTTGCTGCTTGCTGCAGAAAAACTGAAAAATCCAGGCAAGTCCAGCACTCTCCCTTTCCTTTTCTATTTTCCTTCTTTTTTTGCGTGTGCATGCATGTGTACTTTTTAATTCACCCAACCTGAAGGAGCAATGCTGAGCCTACTCAGCCCCAGGGGCCTCTGAGCCTGCAGAATGAATGACGCACCCTCCCATAGCACCAGCATTGAAAGCATCCTGCACCTCTCTGCGTTGCTGTAACTACACAGAGCCACCCAATGTGCAATGGGAAGTCCAAGGCACTTCTAGAGGCAAAACACCACTTTGGTGTGAAGGAACATCCTTGTGAACACCCCATCCCAGGCAGTTCCTTCCCAGGTCATTCCTGACCTCATTTCCCAGCCTCATGGAGCCAAAAGGACTGGCGTCCTGCTGGGCACAGAAGGGTGTTATTTCCACATGTGAGATGGGAAGAACACACCTCTGTTTCTCTTGTTCCACAGGGACTGCATAAAGGGATCAGTGCCACCTCTGTCCTACTCTTCTTCACAAGGACTCCTCAGGGCAGTGGAAGAATTGGTGGGATTCAGACCATAATGGTCCCTTCTGTGCCTACAGCTTGGCCTGAGAGTGGCTCAGGAGATCCCATCCCCAGCAGTGACCCCCCAGTGGACAGCATGAACCTGTGTACAGCGACCCATGGCAGCTGTTGGCACGTGGCATCATTTGTTGTTCCATTTGCTGTTACCACTCCTCCTGGCTCAGGACTGATGCAAACCATGAGCCACCTGTAGCTGCAAACCTCACGCCTGCACTCTTTCCTGGCAGAGGGTTGGAGGGAGCTTTTCAGGCCCCAGCAAAGGTGACGCATTCCTCCGTCGGTTCTCAGGAGTCATTGAGGTCACAGGAAAAGACAGCAGATAGGAATCTGAAATGGAGTACTTTTTGCTATCCATCAAGAGATTTGCATGACTCTCACCAAACAGCAGCCGAGGACGTGAGCAGGTGGTTGCAGAGTCCATCTCCCTGAGCCTGGAGCAGGTGAACAGCACTGGCCTGGAAGGGGCCTCTGGAGCAATGTTGCTGAGTGGGACAGCCCGAGGTCCCCTTCTTTGCATCCTTGTGGTCCCCATGCTGCTCGCATCCCACTGGTACCACACACACTGGGGACAGTGTGATCCTACAGCATCACACTTTGGATGCATGAAGGTAACTCAAGCATTATAGTTTCACCACATTTCCTGAAGTTTAATAGCTTGAAAAAGAGCAAACTTAGCCACAAAGCATGGCGTTCTCTTCCCACCAGGGACTAAAAGCCGTGGTTCAGGCCAAAAGTTGAGCTCAGTTGTGCCCACCAGGCAGGTGTGCAGCAGCACATCCTCAGGCACCAGTCTCCCAGGGCTTTGCACTGTGCCTCCTTTGGCAAACAAGTAAACCCACTTATGGGGCGACAACCGAAGCAAGCTCTGCTTTTCCTGTGCAAAACGCAGCCTGCCCTCTGCTTGCCCGTGCTGGAAGCAGGCTCAGCATCACTGCCAAGCACCATTCAGTGACTGCTGCACGGAGCAGCGTGCCGGGCAGGGGGTGCAGCAGCAGGGAGGCTGCAAGGGCAGGCGGGCACCCACGCAGCCTTCGAGCCCACTCGCTCCCGGCAACGCGTTGACGCCTTCCCCCGCACGTACCCTTAGCAAACCAGAACCACCCTTAAGAACACGGGGCCGGGCAGCTCGGGCAGCCCACGCGTGGAGCAAGACCCGACCCGCCGTCCCTCCCCGTGTCCCCACTCACCCGGGCGGTCGTGTCCCGTGGCGGGAGGCGAGCAGGGGCGGCCGAGGCGGCTGCGGGGCGGCTGCGGCGGCGGCGGCGGAGGAGGAGGAAGGCGCCGGGGGGGAGCGAGGGGCAGCGACCCGGCCGGCGGGGCCAGCCCGAGCCCCAGCAGCAGCAGCAGCAGCAGCAGGGCGCAGGCTGCCGGCATGGCGCTGGGGACGGGACGGGGAGCGGGGCGTGCTGCCGGGGCCGGAGGGAGCGGCTCACATGCCCGGAGCGGGGCGATGGGGAACGGAGGAGAACGGCAGAGGGCAGCTGCCCCGGGGAGGGGGCAGCCGCGGTCCGGCCTCAGCAGCGCGGGGTGCCCATGGCGGCGGGGGGGGGCCCGGCCAGCGGCAGCCTGCGGCCAAGTGCCGGCGCCCGAAAGTAAAAGGGCAGGCGGCCGAGGCTCCTCCTCGAGCCTGACATCACCCGGCGCGGCCCCGCACGGCTCGGCACGGCCCCCCCCGCCCGGCCCGGTCCCCCACACCCCCCCCACCCTCGTTCCTCCGCACTATTTTTATCCGTCCCCTATTGTCGGCAGAGCCCCGCTCCGGCAGCTCCGTGCCCGCTGCAGCAGAGGTTCGGGCTGCCCCCGTTCGGGGGGGGGGGGTGCACCACGGATCAGAGCGGACGGAATCCGACCGGGTTCGGGCAGCGCTGCTCCACCGGAAAGTTTCTTTCCGGCTGAGCGCGGTGAGCATTAAGTGGCCCCGAACTCCATTCCCACCGAGGCTGCGGCAAGTCCTTGCCAAAGGAGTACAAATCTTTTATTGGTTATAAAGAGGACCCGCTCTCCTTTAAATTCCAGCAGCAGTTTCTCGCGGCGGTCAATTTCCCAGGCTGGGCTGTACGGGAGGCAGAGGATTTCCCTTTATTGTTCTGAAATTCCCTTTCATAACTCCACGCTGTTGGCTATGCTGTGTGCAGTGCCGCTCTGTGCCGCTGCTGGCAGCCCCCAGCCCACAGTTCACTGCCGCCACGATCCCAAACTATCCTGTCCCTGTCTCCTCCACGGGATGCCCAGACGTCCTTTGCTTTCCCCCCCCCCTCAACTACTTCAGATTCAGGCTGAATTTCCACGAGCCACTTCCACCCAAGCAGAATCCAATGCCTCAAACCACAGCAACAAATGGCAATCCTCCAAACACAAGACAAAGACAAAGAATGCCAGTTCGGTCCATAGTCCCCAGCTCCCCTGTTTTCCCTTCCCCAGAAGCAGAAGCAAACAGCTCCGTGAGAAACCCAAACTCTCAAAGGCTTCTTTCCACCCAAAAGGTGGCACTGATGAGCCCACACAAGCATGCAAACTACACTGGCTTTTCCAGTTGTTGGTACCTAGAGATGGGGATATGTTGCCCCCTGCTATTCCAGGTTTCTCTGAAATGAACAAACAAATCACAACCAGCTGGGGACATCTGAGTGGCCCAGGAACTGCTGGCAATGAGCTACATCAGACACAGAATCAGAGAACTAGTTGGAAGGGACATCTAAAGGCCATCTGGTCCAATCCTCCTGCAATGAGCAGCAACACCTACAGCTTCATCAGTGCTCAAAGTCCTCTCCAGCCTGACCTTGGATGTCTCCAGGGACAGAGCATCTACCACCTCTCCAGGCTGCATCAGCCTTTGTCAACGGACCCACCTATTTCCTATGGAATACATCACAAAAGAGCCCTAACCCAGAAAACAGAGAAACCAACACCCAGCCAAAGAATGCACTGCCATGAGTTAAAGCTTTTGTGAGAAGCTGAGAATATTCCGATACCTTGGGGGAAGATGCGGGGCAGGAGTTCAAACATTTGGAGATATCTTTTTATATGAAATAAATGGCTCCCCATTCCTATAAGTACTCCTCATCCTCTGAAGCTGTAAATCCAACAGGCAGGAAGTGCAGTATCAAGTGCTTTTCCAAAAAGCCTCAATAAATTCTTCCTACTGTTTTACCCAACAGGCAAAGCGAGAACAAACCCAGCAGCATGCAGACACAAAATAAACATTGCTGACCACACAGCCATGAAGAAAACAGGGCCAGACCAAATGCTTCCATGTCTCTGTGGCCACAGTGGATCCTACTAAAGACCCAGCATGGCAGACTCCTATTGGCCCTCCCAGGCAGGCAGCTAATGCCCCTTTTCCCAAAATTACCATTAAAAGCATCACACATCAGGAGGTGGCCATGAGGATGTTACATCCATCCTCTTGCCATTGCAGTCACCAACAGGACAAAAGCACCACAATGGGAGCCAATACCATCAAAGGAGTATTACCATCACAGCCAAATTGTCCCCTCACCATCGTGGCTCAATCACAAGCACCTGGGAACGAAACACCAATGGCTTTTTTGTACTCCCCAAATGCACTCCCTTCCCCACCAGATGGCCAATTTGCCAAGGCTTTGTGGCTGAAAAGGTAAAGTTACCACATTTTCCTGCCACGTTATTTCATTCCCGCCTTTGCCACTTCACTAAGGGATATCCCTGCACTGAAGAAGTCAGCTCATGAGGAACCCCAGTATTCCTAAGCCCCAGCTCTAACATAACTACGTAAAGCATGATGGATGGTATATGCTGATCAACTGAATCCCACCATCACTCTATGCTAGGGGAGAAAAAACACCATTTGGTTTTGTTTTACTTTGCTTTCCACATCCCAGCCCAAGGGGCTGGAGGCACACAGCCCAATTTGCCAGGTTCTGCATTGTTTTGTCCTGAAATCACAGAAAAGCACAAGAGTTTTGACAGAAGAGGCACCTCCATAACTCCTCACCAGGATTGCGCTCGATGGTCACTCCCGGTCGGTTCTCCAGGAACCCTTCCCAGCCCCAGCACAGAACTCCTGCAGTTTGCTTGAAACATAGCCCAGATCTGTCCCAAGCTTGGAGCAGGCTCATAAACCTCAGACAAGTTTTCAGCTGATGATGAATTAAGGTACAAAGTGAATAGTTTCTACTCCTGGTATTTGTTATTAAAAGTCCCCAGTTTCTGAAGTGGACAGATAGTTCCTTACCCAGTAATTAATTACCTTCCCCATCTCTTCTCGATGCTGTGAACTATCCATTAATGGATCCCAATCATCCAAAAGGCACTTAGCACCTGAACATTTTTCTCTGCATTCTGGGGGTAGCAGTGCTCAACTGATTTCATCACACAGGGAACGTTTGCCCTGTGCTTCCCTTGGAAGCAGCTTGTTCCAGATACTTGACATTTGGAGGTCAGGATGGATGTGGGTCTTGTGATCTCCTTTCATCCCTTGCAGCAAAATGCACAGCAGGTTCATGTCACCAGGTCCAAAATGTTCCCTTCTGATTTCTGTCAGAAATAAACCCTGTATTTTGAGGGGAAAAGCAGTCAGCCATTTTGATCCATCTGAAGCAACTCAGAACCTCTGACTCCTCTCTTTCAGGACCCTTCTCAGCCTGCTCTGAGAAGGAATATCAGTGAGTCCACTGCACACCAATTTTATATGGACTTCCCATACTTACTGTTCACTATATTTTTTCTCCTCCTGTTTATGGCAGTAATTGCCCATTCTAGAATTCACCAGGCAAAGGAAATAATTCTAAGAACCTCCTTTCCCCACTAATTTAGATGATAACCCTATGCTGGCCACTATGCTTCAGCACATCCTGTCCAGGTGCAGGTATAGTGCTGGCTGAAGTTGAGCCAGAACCAGAAGCACAGGGCTGAGAACATACTGCCTTACTGGCCACAGAGAGTCCCTTGCCACATTCCAGGCACGGCATCATTATTTATTCCAAGTGTTCTGTTTGCTGCTTCTCCTGAATCACAGTTATCTGCAAGCGACCATCCCAAGCATGTGACTTTCTGGCCAACGTGCACAATGAAAACATCCAAGGGAACCCAAAGCTGACCGAGAGAGCTATGAAGAGAGGAAAGACGTAGAGGAATTTGGGTAAAGCTACAGATTGAAGGAGTTTGGTTCTCCCAGTGTAGAATCCCAATGGGACATTCAGACAGAACCAGAGTAATGGCAACAAGCAGCAAGGAGCTGTCACTTAATGCCCATATCACAACAAAACTTGATTTTTCCCCTGCCCATTCTCAACTCTATTTGTGTTGCACTGTTTTTGAGGCAGATGACTATAATTCCTGGACACTTATTAATGTTCTTGTGATCACAAACACAGCATGAGCATCTAGGCAAGACCACAAGGCAAATAATAAACTATTTATCCTTCAATGCCTTCTGTGTCTGTGCCTTTTGCAAATGAATCTGTCAAACCTACACGTAGCAACTTACAGCTGGAGGCTCAGGAAAAAAAAAAGGTTTTACATCTACGTATCTCATAAAAACAAATGTTTTCACACCCTCATTTCTTAAAAACAATTCCATGAACTCAAAGGAAGGTTGGTTATAAATGATAACAGAGCTCACACAGCTTAAAAGATAGAAGGATCTTTTCATGATGAAATTAACTGAGTTGCAACTTGTTCTGGACAGATAATGCTCAGAGCTAAGGCCCAAACCAACCTTCAGGATTCCTGAAGCAAGGCTTCCCTCCACCCTTGCAGTTAACAATGTCAAAGCCAACACCCCAGGAAAGATCAGCACAGCCCTTCTCAAGTACTAAGAAGAAAAGTTGCTCTACTTACAGCATACAACAGCAGCAATGAAACTGTGGACCAGAAAGCCCAGGCACAACATGATCTGAGACAACAGACACAGTAATCTTCCCAACAGTGCTGGCCAAAACTATGGTACCCAATGGGAGGAGCTGCTTGTCTCACTGAATCCCAGAATGGTTTGGGCTGGAAGGGACCTCAAAGCCCACCCAGTTTCGATGACCCTGCCTTTGTTATTTAGTTGTTCTCTTAATTTAGTGCTGTGAGACGTGTCCCGATGCTGATGTTTTTATTGCACAGGAGAAATAAATAATTTAATGCCTGAAGTGATCAGTGATTATAAGAAGGGAGAGGCAGTGATTCCTCCCCTCATTCCCCCCCTTTTACTTACGCGTATGTATGTATAAAGCTCAGTACAGGATGAGCTTTAAGCAGAATTACCAAAATAAGGTTAAATGTATCTTGTTAAGGCACTTCTGAATCATCTCTCCTTTTAGCCAAGAGATGTGCTATTTGGAGATAGCTGTGTTCTCAGGTCCTGGCTCTTGTTTCAGAAAGGATGTGGGAAGCCACTATGCAAAGCTTCTAAAGGCATCACATCACCGCTTCACAGTAGATTTCACCGTGCTGCACTGCTACATATAAAGGCACAGGTTCAATTCCAGTTATGAATATATTTCATAATCCTCTTGCGCTTGCCACTGACTCTGGCTTATCATCTAACACCTTAAAGTGCTAAGACTTTGGTCACTGAAATTCTGAGGTAGAAAACCCCTGCACAACAAGCAGGTTTCTTTTTTTTTTCCCTTTAGGATAAGATTTGAAACTTGGCCATGTTGTAGCTTGCATAAACAAACAAGCCTCGGGCATGTAAATAACTAATCACATCCTTTCCATACAAATTCAAGTATTTCACAAGGTATGTCAGCAGTGATTGGCACTCATCAGCCCTTTCTGAAATGACAGCTTGCTATTCTTTTTTCATCCTCCAACTTTACTGAAACTGATTCCTGAACTCTTCCCTGCTGATGAGGGAGGACTGGTGGTAGCGGTGCCTGGAGGCAAAGTCCTCATTCTCCTCGGTGAGCTGCCTGGTCTCCATGCCCACTGTTGCAAAGGCTGGGGTCACCACGATCTGCTCCTTCGGCGAAGGCCTTCTCCTGCAGGCAGAGAAGCAGAAGCACTCACATCACCCAGTGTCTGCCTTCAGCAGCCATGAAAACAGAAGAGACCAAAAATAGCACCAACAGGGGCAGGCAGGGCATACTGAGAAGGGTTACATCTCTCCTGCTGCCCTTCCAGCTAATCTGGAAACACTTTTCCTAGAAGGCACGCAGTGACTATACTCCCACCCCTTCTCCAGCAAATACTCAAAAAATATACATTTTCTTAGCAAATATACATTTCCTCTTTGGAATTGCTCCAGATGTTGGCTCTGCCACTTTTTACACTGTGCAGGAAAGGAAGGAGCACGACCCATCGCTAATGAAAAATACCTTTCTTATAGCTTCTGAAGCTTTCGTGTATATTTCAATTACTTTGGGAACCACGCAGGCCGGAAACTCTCTTCCTCTTTGAAATAAAAGGAGGAGACTTTCCTTCAGCCTTTTGTTGTCAGAGGCTAAGTTTAAGAAACTTTTACTACACACTTGCAAGTCACAACTAGAAGCGCTGACACCAATGACTTGGCCCTCTTCCATAGAATCATAGAATGGCTCGGGTTGGAAAGGACCTCAAAGGTCATCTCCAACCCCCTGCCATGGGCAGGGGTGTCAATCACTAAATCAGGCACTAGATCAGGTAGGGCCCCATCCAACCAGTTAGGATTTGGAAGTACCAAGGACACATGGTTGCTTCCAATACTCTTGCACTTAAATAGGATGACTTTTTTACCTCAAATTCATTGATATGCTTTGCTTGGATTTCAGGAAAACAAAGCTTAGGAGGAATGTGCAAGTGATTTCAATGCAATTTCTTGGAGCATAGCAGAGGTGGACTAACTTCTTTCTTCCAATCCCTGGCCACCTCCCTGGGAAGTCAGCCAGCCTCCCATGGGGACCATTTGATAACAGGCAAGAGGCAGGGCTGAGAAGCACCAAGGGATGACCAGGAGGAAAATGTGCTCCATCATCATAGCTGCACTGAGCTAAATGATAGGCAACGGATCCAGCTATACACTGAGGTGGAACAGGACAGCCAAGTGCCTGGAATACAATGCAGCAGGTTCTGACTCACTATGCAATGAGTAATTCTGACAGTGCTTCCAGCACAGTACCGTGCACCCTGTTCCCATTCTCACCTCCTCATTCCTGGCCTTGGCTCACATTACGAATGCAGCAGACACTGTGAAGGGGGAGAAACAGGCAACAACCCCTCTTTCTAAATGAGACACACAAAGCATACTGCATTCTCTCAGGACACCCTCACTCCTGTTCTGTGTGGTTTATCTGCCTTGGGCTCTTATCCTGCTTTAGGACACTACTATGAGAGGTAGCAGTAGCTGTGTGAAGTAAACTGTTCATGGGCAAAGAGGTCTGCTGGACAGGTGTGTCCTCATGCCACTCTTGCAGAGATCCCCATGTCTGGTAGAGACAGTGCTGGGCAGTGATGCAAGAGATCCAGCTTGTCTGTTCTTAGCTGCATCATGGACCTACATCCATGGGGATCTAAGAGAGATCCCACTGCCTTCAGCTTAGCCCCTTGAGCTGCCTCTGCCACTAAAGATACGTGGCTATGTTATAGGGACTGTAGGCAAAGAGTTGGGAAGGAAAGCACAGGCATGTGCCAATGTGCCTAAATACCTGGACCTTCATTTATCTTAAAGAAGACACCAAATCTGCACACCTAATGCATAGCACTTGTATTGTATGGTCTTCACTACAGTGTTCCGCAAATTCCACTGAACTGTAAAGCAGCAGAGATAGTCTCTACTGCCATGTAGAGTATGGAATTAATGGAATTAATAATTAATTATTAATAGGAATTAATAATTAATAGGATCAAAATGAATTAACAAAACCAGTTAATAACCAACCATGCAAAAACCCTGAGGTCTTCTGGGAAGGAAAACTCTAAGATGTTTGCAGATGCAATCCCTCAGAAACTCAACACTGAGTGGTTCCTTCATTGAAGACCTTGTTTATTGTATTTTCCCCTGCAGCTATTGCTGCTTCCTTCCAAATTTCCTCTCTGAAACTTCGACCCAGCTGGAATGTGACTGCTGTTCCACCATTACCACAGCCACTGGGCTAACCAAAGCAAATAACTCTATTTGCCATTAACTAAGAACTTTGAATCTCCAGCCAGGGAAAGATGGACTGCTCAAGGTAAGAAGACAGTCAACGTTTAAACACATTAGTGGATCAGTGCCTTGATCTCTGCCATGTGATCGGTACCAACCTGCATGAGGTGGACAAAACAGACTTAATCCAACTGAACAAACTGAAATTCGCTGCTGCTCCTACAGAAAAAAAGGCACAAAAAGTCAGTAGGTTGTTAATTCCCTCATAATTGCATTTTGCCATTGAATTTTTTGTATAAAATCCCAAACCAGCCTTCATTACACAAAAATTTAGTGATTGTGAGAGCACTTTTGAAGTATTCCTGCCTGCTCTAGCTCTTCAAGCAAGAAACTAACCCAAATTTCTCCATCCCTATGGAGAGCAGCTAGCCCTTCCCAGACTTACAGCTTATTAAAATACCAGCAGAGCTGAGGCCAAAGCAAAGATACCAGGAGCAGTACCTTCTCTTCCTGAGACTGAGAAGCCCATTCCCACTGCAGGAATGGGGAGACTAAGGAGCTGTGTAGCTGGCCTAAGCCAGAGTGGTCGTGGTCTCACTGCTCCTTCCTGGCTGACCCCATGGAGAGCTGGTTTAGCTTATTACATCAACACCAAGTCTTTTGGATTTCTTTGTGCAGTTAATTTCCTGCACTGGCTCATTGCAAGGGCAGACAAGTGCTTGAGCTGGCAGCAAAAGCAGTCCCAGAAGATTGTGGTGAGGGATAGGGAGGAGAACAGAGACCCAGCAGAGCTTGCTGGATTTGGCTTAGGCTGCCGGAGGCCAAGAGAAAAGAGGAAGGATGTGTTGAAATCTTGGAGCATTCTTGTGGCAGAACTACCATTCCCAAGGCCTTCATCTAGTCCCTAATCCAAAGCATCACTCAACCAGCATCTCCCAGCCTCTCTACATGGAAGAGCCATTCTGTCTTTGGAGAACAAGCTCATGGAGCAGTTGATGTAGTGTGGCCACAAGATAACTTTCACTCACAATCAAATTAAAATTAGGCTGAAATCTGTTTATTTCTGACTTCTCTGCCATCTAGTTCCATGCTCCCTGCCAAGAGAAGGGACACCTTACTCTAGAGCAGGTTGCATAAAACCATCTCACTTCTTCTCCACTCTTCCATACAGATAAATAGAAATCAGTCATAGTGTAAGGATTAGTGAGTGATATTGGTTACTGAATATTAGTGAGTAATTGATGGTTATTCTGAATAATAACTAATTTTTGGCTTCTCCCAGCATGGGTTTCTGAAAATTGGTATCTACTTATAATAACTTTTCATCTAGATAAATACAGGCGGCTATCTCTGAATTGTTTAAATGACATATGAACTCAGGTTCTTCTGTCTTCTCTTACCTAGGTTTTCATAGGTGCTAAACAAAAAATAGCACATCCATACAATTTGCACCCATGTACACTCATACAAATGTATTTATGCACCTACATATGTATGTATGTGAGCAGACACATGCTGTGTATGCATCACCCTCCCCCTTCAGAGAGGCAGACCAATGCAAATCTCTCCTGCCCCTGTGCCAAGGAGCTATAGACTGTCCTGAGCTGCTTTCTCAATGTGCTATACTGTTTAATTTTGAACTTGTTTAAGCCTATCACATGCACAAACCTCTTTAAAGCCTTTTGCCTAAGAATATTTTCCCAGATTACATTCCTGACATATTCAACCTGTTGAGTCAAAAGGCTCTCTTGTTTTGCAGTTTTGAATGCTGAGATTTAATGAGATACTTGTCATAATTCCCATTTTCATTAAAGTTTTCTCAGGTGGGCTTAGATCAATTAATTAAGTTTATTAAAAAGTATTTACAACAGATTTTTCTCATTGCCATTATACGTTTGCAATCTGCAATCCTTCTTAACTCTTAGTGTCTGATTTGGCCATTTCTAGTACAAAAAGTATCACAACTAGCACAATGTTCAAACTACCAAGCTAGTGTTAGCTACAGTTAGAATCAAATATTGAAGAGCTAGATATAAAATGCACTGAAACTAACAAAGAAACAAAACCTAATCCTTCCTTGTGCCAACTGCATAGTCTCTCAATTCATAATCAAGTGAAATTAAAGCTTAATGAATTTTTAAGCAGATTTAATAATACAAAGAACACATAACTCACCCAGGGGGAGTCCTGGACTCACTTGGCCGATGTAGAAATACAGAACCACCGCTGCCCCCAGGCTGACAAGGGTGTAGATCCACTGAATGACAAACATTATGATGAGGGACACAATTGCCTATTGAAAAGACAAGGCTTGGGGTCACTCCAACTGAGATAGTGCACTGCTGTCAATGTGACAGCATTACCCTGCTGAGCATTTCTTTTCAGGTGTCTGCTCAGGGACGGGGACATAATCAGTGCTGCCTGAGATCATCTCTGGAGGCGCTCAAGGCCAGGTTTGATGGGGCAATAACATGGGGGGATGGACACTCCTGGTGCAATAGGCCCTCTAGGGAACCACATCATCTCCTACTTCTGAAACAGTCCACGGTGAGCAGTTTCTGGCCACATATCCATAATTATTATTATTATTATTATTACTGTTCAAGATGATGACAAGCACTTAGAAGCTCTGTTAATTACTGAGCCCATAGAGTACATTGGAGTACAACCTCCCAAAGATACCACCACTGGAGAGCAGCCTCCAGCATCCATCCCACCCACCCACTTGCAGGACCTGTCCCCAGTAGTTGATTACTGGAAACCCGATCAGCACATTTGGAAAGTGGGTGTCAAACTCAATCTAAGGATTAAATTAGAAGGGGTTTGTGTGCTGTTCAAAGGTGTTTGCTATATTTTACATACAGCTACGGAATCCCCATCCATGAAGAAAAGCCGTATTGTTCATTCATTATGCATATCTGACCCTTCTCCTGTCATCTGCCTATTAATCCATCTTCCCAAGATGAATTTAAACGTTCTCAGTGGCTTCAGGCAGAAGTTATTTAGAAGTTATTTATTCTTGAAAGTAACGTGCTGGGGGAACAGTCTGTTTTTATCCCTCAAAATGTGGAATTTCACAGTCAGGCTGCTCTGATCAGGAGTTCAGCAGTAATGAAATCCTACCCTAAGGTAGCATCAACTGTTTCATAAATAAAAATAACACAGCTCTGAAGCCGATGTCTCACTCCATCCCCCAGCAGGCTGGAATACAGAGAAAAGAGGGATCCGATGTTTTTTTCCCATCAGCCCCACGTCTCTAACTCTAGAAAAATTCTAAGATGCCAGACTTTGAATTTGGATCTTCTGTGTTTGTTTGTTTTTGGTCTTTTAAATAATGTCATCTGCCTTTCTCTTAAGTTGAACTAGGGGGTGCATATTCCTTTAAGTATTTAGTTGATGTAAGGGGGGAAACACAAAAGCCATTTTAAAATACTGTAGTGTATTTACACCGCATTAAATGATGAACTTCCTTCCACGTTTTACAAACACAAACCAATGCTCAAAATAAAATTACTTACACCAGCAAAGGAAACCCAGTAATTGCAGAATTTGGAGTAGAAGGATTTTTGAATTTGCTGAATTTCCAGCTCTAGGTTTTGCTGCCTTGTAGATGATTCTAGAGGATAAGAAGAAAGAAAGAGAGATATTATAAAGGAGCTGGTGAGTCAGTCTTTTTCTACTTTACATTTTCAGATTGCAGAAACCAAAACAGAAATTCTATCTGACAGCTGGGCATGAAAGCAACAAAAAAAAAAAAAAAAAAAAAAAAAAAAACAAGCAGGAAGGGAAAAAAAAGAAAGGAAACAAAGGAGTTTACAGCTCTGGTACTGAGTCCATTTTAAGTTCACAAATACATCATCATATGTGATGGAAAGCAAGGCACAGTTTCCATATTTGCAAAAGAAGAAAGATATAACATTTAATTGGCTAACATCGATAGAAGACTACTGATCTGAGACAACCGCCCCCACTGTAAACAGTATTAAATACCCACAGTGCCAACAAAATGAATTCAGATTCTTAGCTGCAGATGATGAATTACAGTCTCCTCCTGCAGCATGGGGATCATTTCATTTCGATAGCTAGAGCTTTAGGCTTGCAAAACTCCATCCCTCCTACCCTCCTACCCAACATCATGGCAAAATAAGTCCCAAGATAATACTCAAAACCTTTTTAATGCACAGCATTAAGAGCACATTTGTAGAATAACGAGCATGCAGTAAACAACCCTACACTAAATACAGTCCTGCCTGCTTTCCTGTGATTAATCTTCCATAGGAAATTACACTGGAACTTCTCCTGTGATTCATTACGATGAACTCTATCCTCACCTGTAATAAAAGATATTATTGCTATGAATCACCCAATGACAGTCCCATATAAAGCTAGTTTCTCGCCTGCCTCCAGGAGGACCAAGGCCATAAATCATTCCCCGTGAGTCCCTTTCCGGCAGCCCTCACCTTCCATCCCACAACCTGGGACCTCTGGTGCCTTGCTGCAGAGCTGCTCCCCATGGTCAGGTGGTCCCTGGTGATCCACAGCAGGCAGTGACCAGCATGATCCCACCTCACACTGCTGGCTTTTGGGTGGGGGCTCTATGGTCTCATCCCAGCCACAGTGAGCTGGAAGAGCATCGTGATCAAGATCCAGAAGAAAGCTGTCTTGTAACATTTGCTTGGCTGGCTTCTTTGCTTTTTTCTGTTTGACTTTTTGCATTAGATTCTCAGCGCCTTTTTTGCCAGCATCTGGCTCATTACGAAATGGTTTAAAAAGCTGGTCCATGTCTTTTCTGAACTCCAGCAAGGTGCCATTCGACCTGCTTTGAATTACTCCATCTGATGCATGGCTGGAGGGCCTGTTAAAAATCAAAGGCTGGGAAGACTGAGGAGGCTTAGTGTTTTCCACCAGTGTCTTGCCAGGTTTTTGCTGAACGTCGTAGCTCAAGGAGATCGAGAAATAGGAGTAGTCTACAGCAATATATGTCAACATGAAGTTGATGGTGACTATTGGAGCAAGAACGTTCACTTGCCCAATGAAGACGAAAGCCATGGTGATGAGACTTGTTAAGCAAATTGCAGCTACTGGAGTCTTGTTGGGTCCTTTCTATTGCATCAATAAGAGAAAATTATTTAAATTAATACCTGTGAGGATCCCCCCAGCTCAGATGTAACATGTGAATATCCCAGCAGTTTGCAGGTACCCTGTTAGTCATGAAATGTACCTCCACATGTACACAGCAGACGTTCACTGGCTTAATAAATTAAAGAACAGACTGGAAGCCAAGAACTGCTGAGTTCCCACCTCACCTCTGATCCTTCCTCAATCTTTGTCTTTGGAAAATTCATCCAGTCTCACTCTATATCTCCACGGTAAAATATTAAAGCGGCAATAAACCTTCAGAAAGATTTGTGGGGCCTATGGGAAGCTTGGGCTGTGTTCAAGCAATAAAACATGTTAATTACACTTAACTGTTCATTTCTAATTTCTCTACAGGGCCCTTCATTGCTGTCGGCTCAAAAGGCTTCTCACAAATTTTAATCTTAGGTCTAGTATGCCCTTCTTTGATCATTGCTAAAGAGCGAGCCTGCATGATGCTAACTGCCCATCAGAGCTCCTGTGAAAGCCCTTCTGAGATGTGGTTTGTCCCAAATGGGCTACTGCTGGAAAAAACAAGCTCCATTTCTAAAAGTCTTGCAGTTTGGGAGTTTTTCCAGCAGCTCACAGCCGAGAGGAGGCATCTCAGAGATGAGCTGAAAGGTGCTCTTCCAGCTCCTTTACACCAACAACAGCACGAGACAGGGAACATTTTCCATCCTACATTTTCATTTACTGCATGTTCTTCTCTAATAAACACATAGCTCAAATGGAAACTATTTCTATTTTCTCCACACTTACTTATTAATAGAAAAGAGGACCTTATGCCTTTTCACAATGAAATGAGAAATATGTCTCCAGGATAAATGAACTCGGTTCTCAGAAAGCATCTTAGGTATTAGAAAGACTTACTGAGATAGGGAACAGATGGTACGATCTCAGGATGCCTCTGGCTTAGGTTTAACGCTACAGAAAACAATAGTGTCCTTCACATTAACTGGGGTTACGTTGCCTACAACACTTTCCTAAACCATGGAAAAGAAGAACTGATGTGGAACAGATTGTTAAGGGCAAATTACACTTATTAACTCTCCAAGAACCAAATCAAGCCAATTTTCAAGGTAGCATAGAGAAGGAAGGGGAAGGTGATCCGCCTTTAATTTCTCACCTCTTTCTGAGCACTTCACAATGAGGCACCCTGCCCAGTGTTCAGAGCAGAAAACACTACGAAAAGACAGAATACTGCCGGAGAAGAGAGGGAATCAACTTTGCAGTCCTTGGGCTAAATGACTGACAGTTTGGCAAGCACTGCCACGTGGAGAACAGTCTGTTCTGGGATTGCCTGACAACTGTCCTCAGTAGCTGGAAGGTTTTGCTGTTGTTACCATTCCTGCTTCTCCTGTTGTTATTTCTATTATTCTTATTTCTGTTATTATGGCCTTATTTTTCAAGAATTACACTGAGAAATATAAAATACAGGAAACCATTATGTTTCCAAAATGAAGATATTTTAAAATATTCTTAAATTTCAACATTGTGCAATATTTGTTCTGCATTTATAAGCTGCTCTGAAAAAGCAAAACCACCTTAAGGTTCTCCCAGCTGCTCACTGCAGTTAGGTGCCTTGGGTTATTTAGAGCAAAGGAAATTTTTTTCTCCCTCTTTAGAAAAACGAAAATCCATATGAAATACTTTGATCTACATGCATAGCCCATGACTACACAATCCTTATTGGCTGATGCTTTGACCGTTCTCAGTGAAACAACTCATGTGAATGAGGATTACTTACCAGGACAAGAAAAAAGCTTCTTGCTAAATTCAAAGCAAGGCTTTGTTTAAAAGCAGCCCTCTAAATTAACCTTCCAAATCCATTCTATTATCTTCACAGAGTCCAAAAGGTACCTCATCCTTTTTTCTCCAGAGCGCAGAAACAGAATTCATTGCACTGTAATTAGTACTCAGCTATCATGTCACCAAAGAAGATAGGAAGATCTCAAGGAAAAAGAGCAGGAAAGAAGAAAAATAAAAGAAAAAGAGGAAGCTACCATCCCTTCAATTAGGGTGCTTGGACAAAGCTTTAGACCTCTGCCCTGAAAGGAAGGGCAGAGAAGAGTGAAGTGCCTCAGTCACAACTATGATCAGCATGGGTTTAGATGAGGTGCTTGCAAAAAAAACACCAGCAAATCACACTCAAAGTTGTATCTCAAGCAATTGTCTTCCTGGAGATGTCTCAAAAGAAGCGGGACCAAGGGAGGAGGTCACACAGTCCAGGAAGAGCCGTCCATGTGTGCAGAAGGGACAGATGGCTCTAGGGGCAGAGCTGAAACAGGGAGCACAGACCCCATCCCAGAAATACTCCTTGTATCAACAGCTTCCCTTCAGGTTAGGTTTCACAGAACTTCACAGGAAGGGTCACTAACCCCGCGTCCAAGGAAGGCGAGCATGGGCACCACGTTCTCCTGGGCAATGCACTGCAGGATTCGGGGCGCTCCATAGAGCCCCCCCATGCAGGAGGCCAGGGATGAGATGTACAGCCCTAGCAGAAACAAGAAACCCACCAAAGATACCTGGAGGAAGCAGAGAGAAGGCAAAGTCAATTACTTTGTTTTTCAAAGACCCACGAGTGATTTTAAATGTGCATTTTCACAGATCCCCTATATTTTACAACACTGCAGAATGATCTGAGCGGAAAAGGCAGCAATGTAACTGGTCTGTGGTATAAAGTGCAAGTAATTAATATGGGAAAATTACCCCATAAAAGTATAAAAGTAATTTAATACTGAACATCCTGTATCAACAGAGCCATTTGACAAACTCACATCCAAGAAACTCTTTGTCACTTGGAGCAATTGCAGCAAAGCAGCAGCTATTAGATTCCACTTAAGTAACTGCAAGTGAGTTTATTTCAGGAGAGATCACTTATATACAGAGCACACCATACAGGAAAAGCTACCCAGGCTTCCAACCATCCAAAACAGGAAGACAAACCCCTGCATCCCAGAGGGGAAAACCAATCCTGAAAGAAAATCCGCAGTAAAACCAAATCAAACTTGCCACTTAAGCAAATGGCATCTCAAAAAACATGCTCCAAAGGATATAATATAATGACCTTTTTTTCCTGTCTTCAATGAGCAAAGAATTTCCTCCGGTATGCACAAAACTTCAAAACCTTTAAAGCCACAGTGCTGCTTACTACACAGGTGGTTTTATTGCCCTTTGCTAGCCAACACCTCCTCGAGCTGGCAGCCCAACTGGGCAGCACTACGTGTAGGCATCAAGTTGTGGACCAGGCTCAGCCCTCAACCCGCAAACACTGAGCCAAGACCAGCTGAAGCCCAACCTTTCTCAAGCAAAGAGACATCCTCACAAACCCTAGTTATGGGCAGCTTCTACAGGCTGAAACACAAGTTGTCTATTTAAAGATTTGAGGGCTATTCTCTTGGCTTGCTAATAACAGGGTTTTAGCACAGTTTTCTGTGGGAATACTTGTTTTCACTGTGTTTGCCAGATGTATTTCAGAACTGTAACGGTCTCCTACTACTTGAACAACAGTGTTGCTTCTCCCCATGCAAATCCACTTGCCTTGGGAATTTTATCTTGTGGGACAGAAGAAACTTGAGGGGACGATTAGCAGCTATCAGCTTCCATCAGACAAATGGGCAGACCCGGGGTGCAGGAGTCTGACAAGCAGAAATTCCCCCCCCCCTCCAGAGAACTGGTCTGGTTTGGGCAACACTTGACAGAAAACAATCAGTAGTGCCAGACATCATATATTACTTCAGCTGCCAAAAAAGCTTGCATTTAAATGCACTACTTGACATTCAAATCAGGGTTACAGGGGAAGAGTCCCTTTCACTGAGGCTGATGAAAGGTTTTGCTGTTGGTTTTGAGCATGGAGAGTACGAATACTTAGTAAGAAATTGGCACTTCTGGCTCATTAAGAAGGGAAATTACTGAATCTCATTTTTGTGTTTGCAAAGCCAAACAAGCACCACGGGGCACAAAAGCAGCCACTCGCTCACCTGCGCCTGGCAGAAATGCTGAGCTGGAATGTTCAGTGAGCAACGATTGCGTTCTCTCTCCGAAGTCATTCCAATACACAGGTTTGCTTGTAGCCACTCAGAGAAGCCAAATGAGTGCTTGGATTGTTTCACTAAAGGGAGTTTGCTTTGTGTTTTGGGGGGGGAGGTCTGTTTATTTTTTTTTTATATTTAACAGCGTTAAATATCTTCAGATTCATCTCCTGGGAGATTTTACAGCTTTTCCCCATGGAGGGCTTTGAAGTTAAAACACATTTGAAAATCTCTCTCTCTTCAGCTGGTTCAGTTACAGGTACTGTTTCATTACCATACTTTCCATCTGCTGCATCTGTCACATTTACTTAACAAAGGCATTACGTTAGAGGTAAACTCATTCTTTTTTTCCCCTGAAACAGAGGTGATGTTTCACCTTAGCAGGAAGTCATAGGAGTCCCACCATTAATTTGGAGCTTACTTTGGGGACTGGAGGATATCTAGGGCTACAGTTACTTGGAGAGAAAACAAAGCCAGAGTCTCAAACTGACATTTTAGATTAAAGTGTTATAAGTTAAACTGATGGATAACATCTCAAAAAATAACCACAAAACAGTGTCAGATACTGTAAACCCATGATTTAGTATAATGCTGAATAATAGGAAATTAGCCCTTCCATACGCCATCTACAGTAAGACAGAGAGGCACACCGACATCTTTGCTCTCCTTACAATGCCTGGGTTCATTGCATGTAACCCTACAACACTCCTTCACTCACATACACCACCATGGAACGTCTCGAGTTCTCTAATCCAACTGCTCACACTGCAATTACAGTCTGTGTCATATGAGAACCCCAGCCTCGCTTGACTTAGTACAGACAAGTAGTGGAGTTCTTTAGAGATTTCAATTTGGCCCAAGCTTCCACCAGTGAGAAAGGATACATTCAATAAAAGACAGCATTTATCACTGGACCATATTAGCATACTGAAGCTCTTGAAGCTATCCGCTGAGTGATTATGCCACGATTCAGCATTATTGGATATGCTGGTGAATGCAAAGATATTCAAATCAATTGTGCACTGGTATGTGCACGGGGAAGATCCCTTGAATGTCAATGAGAGATGTGCACCCAAACCTCTTAGGATTTTGGAAAAGCTCAAGCATACAATGACAGAGAAGCTTCCCAAACTAAAAGCCCCATCACATAACACCTTTTTATATACAAAATCAAGTTACCTTCTCTGCTATCATGAAGTCATAGCGGAGAGACTGACGGGTGCAAATGGCTCCTAGCAAAAAGACGAAGACCATGTAGAGAAACCACCTGCAAACAACAAAACCAAACCATTTTCTCCAGCCAGACAAGACCAGTGAGAACAGTGCCCATCAGCAGAGGCAGAAGAAGTCCATGTGCGAGTAAGCTGGGTTTTCAATCATTCTGTACTGGCTGGCTCTGCATGGCAGGATGTCACCACCATGCTCATTACGTGCCCACCACAGCACAGTGGGGACAGTAAATCACAGCCATGGTGTGACAGTACAGTTCCCCTGAGGTAAGGAACCTGCATGTCCTTGATATGCACACAGGGGAATGATCCAGCCATGCTGTATGCATGTCCCCTCATTCAGGGGGCAATGCCAGGTTTACCACCTCTGTCACAATCCTCCTTGGATATCTGTGGCTGTTCCATTGGAGGAATAAGCCAGGTTGCCTGCAAAGTCCAGGCAGCAGAGGTGTGAATTCCCTGCTTTAAAACAAAACGAGCACCAGTTGCAGTAGGAATTCAACTATGTCCAAAAAATCCCTCCTTTCTGCCTCAAGCTGGGTATGCAATTAAACATAATATTTTCAGAAGTAGCTTAATTGGCAATGAAAGCAGGAAAGGACCTACTGAGGTACTTTTTAATACAGAACATTGCATTACTTCTGGAAAGCAGCATTTCTCAGGGGGAGAGCTCTGCTCCCCCGGCTTTGCAGTCACACAGGTCATTTCATCATTTCACCACTCTTGGCCTCATTTTCACCGATTAGAACAATTACATTTTCTTTTTTTCCAAAGACAGTGCTTTGAAAACAGCAGCAATAAGAGACAAAACCACATGCCACAGGCCTACAGAAACTTTGCATGCCACTTGGGGACAGCCAGGCTGCAGTGGCATAACCACTCTAGCACCAACACACATCCCATCCAGCAGAAGAAGCCGAAGAGTGAGGAAGGACTGACTGTATTCATGTGAACAGATCTCCTCTCAAACCCACCCAGAGTAGGTGGTGGTAATGGATGAGAATTTGAATGAGAGCCAGACGTTAATTTTCCAGATGGCTGAGTAATAAAAGGTTGATGGGAATATGAAATAGATTGGTCACATCCAGGGCAGGCTCCAAATAGTAAATTTTCCCCAGCCTATTACTTACGAGGTGCCAATAGCAGCCAGAGACCCCAGGGGAATGTTGGTAGCAGGCTTCTGGAGATCTCCACTCATATTGAACCCAGCCATCACACCTATATTTTGTAGACATAAATACAATTTCAAGTTAATCCAAGTTATAGCATCCGTGACATATATTCCAATATGCAACATAATTTAATCAGTCACTTAATCGATTACTTCAGAACAGTAACTAGATCATTTCACTGCACTGCCACGTGTAGGGTTACTGCCTCCCATTGACTGCTTGGTAAGTAACTGCTCCTGTCTCAAGGGAAACGAGCAATGCTTACACATCTACAAAGAACTGTTTGTCCATCTTGAACAATGCCGGGGGGGTGGGGTGAAGAAGCAGAAATCCAAACAAAACCCATCTTATCTTAACGCAAACACGATAGAAAACGGTGTCACTAGATTGTTGGAAAGAAAAATGCCACTGTTCATCACAAGCTTGCATTCAGCAGGTTGTCCTGTCCCACCAGCCCCAGTCAGTCAGAGCAGATCAATTGCAGGTGTCTGCATTCACGAAGGACAACCACTAAAGCAGCTTTTAATGTCTGTGTTCAATGACTTCCCCATGCATTTACCAGAGAGAATTGGGATATGCACGTAGGTGGCAGTTTCTAGCCTTGGGCTCTTCTCTGCAAGCATCACTCAAGGCTCTGGGCTGGCATTATCTCTGCCGTGCAGATAAGGAAACGGAAGCATTGAGCAGGCAAGTGATTGCCCCAGCATCACAGAAAACACCTGGCAGAACTAACAATAAGCACTGGAACATTGTTTTAGGCCAGAGTGTAGGGTATTGCATGACCAGTGACAGTCCTCAGCTTAACAAATCACCATCTAAAGTTGCAAGAAAGCGAAACAAGAAGGATCAAAGGATTGAAAACTCTGTCTTAGGGCTGGGAACCCCAGCCTGAAAAGGGTTAAGAGACTTTACTCACATTTGAAGAGAGAGTCATGCCAGACTTGACAAAAAAAGTGCATATTTTCTCATTAAATTATCCCCAAATTTCTCCCAGAATACTTGAGATATCTGCTATAAGTAAATTAAATGCCTGACTTAGAATTCCAATGAGAATTCAGACGATCTGAAGGCAGGACAAGAGCCTCCCTAGGACACTCATTCCTGCCCATTTCTGTCCCAGGGAGGAGTTTCTCAGCAAAGGACAGTCAGTTTTGCAACAAATCCTGCAGCAGAGCAGATAAATCGCAGCTCAGCCAGATGGATGTCTTCTCTAAAGGCCTTGCAGGGCTACAGATGGATGGCCACCAGGGAGCCATGGTTGTTGCTAATCAGGGATCAGCAGCTCATCTGCCTGCTCTGTCCCAGGCTTTCCTGCACGTTTTCATTGCTCCATGTCCCCATCTGCTAAATGGGAATTGTAACACTTTCTCTCAGCACGCTAATGAGCACAAGGCACTCACATGTTGCTAAACACACCAGCAAAGCATCCAGCACTTCATTTATTTTCTTTTTCTTCCCCTTGATCATCTCAGGCCCACCCAGCAGCCATCTCTTTCTGTCATCCTCTCCACCAGAACCTCAGTGCCCTGGCTCTTTGCTTTCAGAGAAGCTGTCTTTCAGATTCAGATCAGATTCAAATCCCTGAGACTTACTGAAAACTTTAAAAATCAAACTGAGTTGCTCATTTTCTCCTGGAAGGCTGCTCTGTGGATGTAGTTCTGAGTAGCACTGGTAAAAGCCCATCAGCTGGTGTACTTTTCCCCAGATGAAGTTTCCAAGTGCTGTTCAAGCACTGCTCCTTTTTCAAGAGTTATACAATAGGCTTAGCTGGAGGACAGAAAATATAGGAAGGCAGAAGTCCACAGAAACAGTCAAAAACATCATACTACATGGAGCATCCATGAGGTACTCTTCAGTGACACGCTATTCTGCATTTCAGGGGTAAAGCAGAAAATGCAGAATACCCTGCATTTTTCTTCCAAAGGGAGCAAGCTGTTGTCAGAAGGACAGCTGCTAATCCAATGTGCCTCCTGGCCAAGTTTCCCAAACACTTGGCACCACTTCTGTATCTTCCAGCTCAAGCTTGACTCACCTTCTCCTTATCCAAGCTCTTACCTCAGCAAAGCACTGAGGAAACACCAATATGGTGTTTTCTGGACCAAATATGAAAAAAAGTTGAAGGTGTGAAGTCACTTGTACAGTGATGCCTGCAGGGCCCTGACTACCCCACTGCCTCCCTTGCACAGACTCACACATAATAAGGTGCAGCCCAAGATGACATGCCAGAGCCTATATACACTGCATCTTGAGATCAATGACTGACCTCGTGGCTAGGGGTCAGACCCAGACCAGTGCAGGATCTCCAAGGTCACCAGAGTATCACAACCTCCTTTGACAAAGGCCAAGGTCACCACTACAAGATCCAACATAGCATTGGTTTGAGTGGCTGAGAATGTCTGTCTCCTCCATGCTGACTACTCCCAGACCTGACAGGATGGAAATCTTCTTGTGTAGAAGTACAGACAATGTAAAAGTCATCTCTCTACCACCAGCCAAAAAGTAATTATCCAGATAGGGTGCCAGCTGCCGAAGAGTAGAACTGAGAAGACCTTGTGCAAGCAGCAAACTAACCACCCCACTTCTCAATGAAAGGACAACCCAACTCCTTTCTAACAAATTAAAATAAAAGAAATTGAACAAACTCCACTATCAATAGCTTTGGTCACCCCTTGCCAAAGAGTGATCTGGGCTGGTTTGCAAGACTAGCTACTAAAGAGAAGAAAAATACGTGCACTTGCACATAAAATCCAACCAAGTAGAGAAGTTGGGACATTTCATCCTCCAGACAGATCTATTCCATAAGGAAATGGCCAATCCCTTTTGAACTCAAGCAATCCTATCTGCAGATTGTCTACAGAGAAAATTATCCACCTCTCTGTTTCAACGAGATAGCAGGCTGGATTTTCCACACTAGCTATTATCTCAGAGAGCGGCAGATAATGACAAAGCTTCTGGACAAGGAAGCATGAAAACACAGTCAGCTCAGCCAGGAAATTATGGCTGAGACAGTCTGTACATTGCTGCTATTCCCAGCGTAATCCTGACCTGGGAATCATCCAGGCAGTGGATACGTGCATGAAGAGACCACCTACACTGTACATTAGACTTAAGCATCTGCTCCACCAACCCTGGCTTACAGCTCTACCAGCTATTGCTTATAACTGTAGATATGACTGCCTGCAAACTGCCATTGTATTGCATTTTCCAGAAATATTACTATAAAATGTGAAAGTTTGTGGTGTTTAGTTTGGTGTTTTTTTTTTCCTTCAACCAAGAGATGAAGAATGGAAAATCTGAGATTGGAATTGCAGCTGATTGTTTAAAAGGGCCAAATTCTCCACTGATGTAAGCTGGCATCTCTCCACAGACTCCAGTGGAGTTGTGCCAATTTACATCATCTGATAACTTAGCCCAAAACTTCTAAATCTATTTGCTGTCATTTTGCAAGTGCCAAATATGCTTTATTTCAGAACTGGTGTCGGCACAACGACATTTTCCAGTAACACTGCTCAAACATCATCTTACTTTCTCGTATCACACGATAACACACTTCTTTCATTAAGCTGAAAACCTTTGGAATCTGGTAGAAAAGAAAATCATTCTCTGCACAACACTAATGCTTAACTTCATCTTGAAGCTGCACTGGCAGTTGTGTGGCTGCTGAAGAACTGCATGCATTTCTGTGGGCAGGCAGCTGCTGAACCTCCTTCCTCATACACATCCACGCTTAGATGGGGAGCTGAGCTGATGGCTTCAAGTTGTGCCAGGGGAGGCTCAGGTTGGATATTAGGAAATATTTTTTCTCAGAATGAACGATGATGCAGTGGCACAGGCTGCTCAGGGAAGTGGGGGAGTCACCATCCCTGGAGGTGTTCAAGAACAGGGTGGATGTGACACTGAGGACTGTGGCCTAGAGAGGTCACAGGCATGGCATGATGGCTGGACTGGAAGATCTTAGAGGTCTTTCCAATATTCATGATTCTATGATTCTAAGTGTGGTTGCCTCTGACTTAAAACAGAAAATCTGAGTTGTCTTCTTCAACAGCTTCCAGAGCTATTTCTGATGGAAATAAACAACTATAAAGCACTTTTTGCCGTGTCTCCTAGAGACCAGACTGAAACCAGTTGAATTCAGATAAAAACTGCAAAGGGAGAATAAAGGGTTTATCCTGAGAATATCAAAATAGTTTCACTTCAAAAGAACACTTCATCTCAGAAGGGCCCAAACATCTTGTCTCACAATTTCCTAAACACTTTTAAAAAACCTTTGTTATTAGAACAGCATCTTAAATTGCAAATCAACATATGCTAAAAATTAAAAAGAATAAACAAAACATTTAATAATAAAAGCTAAACCAAATACCGTTTGGGGTCAAATTAGTTTTTCAAAGCAGCTCAAAGCAGCCCCCCACACTGAACAGCAAGTTGCTTGGCTGAAACTTTCCTTGAATTGAAAAACTTAATGCATGGGATTGTGCTGCCATTGCTTTGTCCACATCACCAAGTGGGATCCAGAAGAAGCAGAAACTGCTTTGGGATGGTGCAGGGAATGGTTCAGGAGGACAAAGCAGAGGTGCAGCTGGGGGTGACATTCATGCGTCCTTGCCATTCCTTTCCTTTCTGCCCTGCAGAAGAGGCCTGGCAATTGTGTGGCATCTCTCCAGCCCGCTATTAATGCTGTTGCCAAAACTATCCCTGCAATGTCACCTGGAAGCCCGCAGACCGCTTGTGCTGCTGGGCCTGCTGCCAGGCAGGGTAGAGCACCCTCCTGTCCTCCTGCCTGCAATGCAGTGGGCAGCAGCTTTCTGCAGAATGTGGGGCACCAGGAAAGCTGGCATCCCCTCTGCAGTACTGAGCCTCCATTTTGGGTGAGGATTCAGGCTAAGACATTGCACCAGCTCTTGGAGATGGGAGCTCTGAAGTTGCACAGGGCTCTCAGCTGTGATTTGGAACAGAAAAGTCCTGACTCCCATCTCTTGCCTTCTTAATCTTTTTTAATCAGATCACAAGTTCTCCCATGTAGCACTATGTTTTCTTTCACAAGGCTCCTAAGCACTGCAGTGCTATAAACAGCAATAACAGGAACAATGGTGGTGTTATACGGCACCACTGGCACTGCTGCTCCAAAGCAACAATTTAAATCCTGTAAATAACCAAACAATAAAAAAGAACACATGAAAAAGCTCTGCAGTAACCAAAGTAATTATACATCAGCCCAAACCGTGTTTTCAGAGAATATTTAACATTACTACTGGTGTTACAACCGCTAACTAATAATGCAACATGCTGCCAGGACTTCAAATAAATTATATCTGTTAGTTTTGGCCTTCATCCTAGCAGCCAGGTATTAACAGTGATGAAGAACCATTTAATATGGTTAATCATGGCAATTTTCTGCACAGCTTCGTCATAACTGTTCCTTCTTCTGTGATCAGAGAGCTGGAAAATCCTGCTTTCCTGCATCATAGGCAGGGCTCTGAAGAAGGGCTCCTTCTGTGGCCGGGGGACTTGCGTGGGTAAGACCAAAGCAATAAGGAAGAGGGCAGCAGCCAACTGCTCCATGGTGCCAACAGTTTGGGCAAGCAAATTTTTCAGGAGGAAGCCTATCTGGAGACAACAGCCAACCTGGTAAGCTGGGAGACAGGATTACAAAGCGAAAATTGAGATCCTGCTCTAGGTACACCTGACAAAGTGATTCTGCTAGATTATTTCTCCAGCTCATCTGCTTCACAAAACCTTTCAGTTTCTCTCCCTGTACCGCAGCAATTCCACTAACAACTTTCAGCTAGTTGCTTAGAGCTAATCCTCTGCAAATTCATCCTATAATCCAAGGATTCATTGCTATGGAAACTGCTCATGATCGGTACTTTTTATTGCTTAAAAAACAGCATCAACAAAAGGTATTTTAACTCCAACTGATAGCTATTTCATTCCCACTGGAGAGTACCAGCTGTGGAGAGGGGACATCGATCTTCCTCTTAAATTAAGGGAAGGAATGACATAAAAGCATGAAGTTACACTTAATGAACATGAGTCCTGCTGTGTGGGTAGTGCAGAGAGCGGTAGGTCAGCATCCTGGGTGCTGGAACCAGCCCAGCTCAGCCACCAAGAGTCCTCCCATCCCCTTCCCTCCCTTCCAGCACAATCTCATCACAAGGCTTATCTAGCAATGTGAATCATCTGATCATCACTATTAAAAAAGCTTGGAACTCTGTGGCCCCAAAGCATTGGCCAAGATTGCCTAATCCTTGGAGGGGAGGAAACAATGCCATCATGTCAACCCATAGGCTTGACAAGCAGCCTGGAGAATCTCCCCAGGAGATGTGCCTGTAGAGGAGAGGATAAAACTCACCATACCTGTGGCAGCTGGGAAAAACACTCCAAAAACAGTGAAGAAGGACTCCCCCTGGCTGTAGTCTGGCAGCGTGTTGTTAAATAAAAGCTCTTCAGAGTAGCCAACGAAGCCGTGCTCTGCAAACACAGGGAGGGAAAGAGGAACACCTCAGCCATTGCATGGATGGTGGGAGAGCCAACGACCCACTCAGTCTTGGATGACAGCCCCCCCACCCCCAAAAAAGTGTGACAGCAGTGGCTATTTCCAGTGGCTGTTTGAAATGGTGAATGTCAAGTTTTTTAGTGGGGGAAGAGGTAAGCACGGTTAAATGGCAGCCAATGCCAGGCAAAGCCACGGGTGGCAGTGATTGGCACAGCTAGCACGTCTCAGCTGTGCTGCCCCATAGCGAGTCCTGCCATCAAGCATCTTTCCATGAAGCCTGCCCACCGAGGACCATCACAACCCATGGATAGTAAAGATAACTTAGAAAGCAGGTTAAGGAATTAAAGATACATATACAAAATGAATAATTCTATTTTCAGCAGGCAATGCTGCTTTTTAACAGAGTATCTTCTGTTGTGGAAACATTTCCTCCATATAAGCACTCCAAATGCTTGTGATTGCAGAGGAGGGAGGCGAGCAAAACTGGTTTACTTCTTCTTCCAGCCACTACAATTTATTTCCACAAGACATGTGACTGCAATAACTTGAATTTTCTCATTAGCAGGCAGGATGTTGTTTATGGCTGCGCAGGGTGACAGCCAGAAATTTAAAAACTACTCCGTCAAAGCTGTACCATGCCTCAAAGGCAGCATTAATGATGTTTGGACAATAGATTCAACCGGAAAATTAATCAAGAGTTCTGAACACAAGACACGTTCGTTTAAAGTGTCAGAATACAACTAACCACAGAGCTTTGAAGTTGCCACAGAAAAATCCTATAGATAATCAAAAGTTTCCTACTACATCTGCATTCATTGTGTTGCCCAAACATGGATGGATCTCCTGCTGCCAGGCTTTTAGCAGTTCCAGTCATCTTCACAAGGAACAAGCTACAGATGAGACTTAAAGGGAATATGTTCAGTGCAACACCCTGACCTCTGGACCTCACAGAAGTCTGCATAAACTGCAGCTTCTGTAGAAATAAAGGGGGAATTTGTGTACGTTGTACATTCCTGCAAAACTAGACCCAGACCCTTTTTTCAGACAAAGCCCGTACAATCTTAACTGGAATTTGTGCCCACAGCACAAATGCTGGCTGCAGAACTTCTATCAAACTCCTCAAGAAAAGTCTCAGTCTGCAGTCAAACAATTCTTCATCCGCTCCTCATAAAAATGTTTTGCTATTAAAACAAAAGGGGTGGGAAAGTATTCAACTCAGCCAGAGGACTCATGCATATAGACAGACCTCCAACTCATGCTTCAGAGCAGCATCAACCAGAATTATGCCACTTTTGACAAAAGTTTGCCCAACCAATCTGGAAAATTTCCCATGGATTCTAGGCTCTCAGGATGATTTACTTTCATATTTTCCTGTCTCAGGTTTTCCCTTTTCCTTAACCATCACCACCTTGTTTGAAACACTTGCTGCTCCCTCTTGCCCAACCTCTATGTTATCTGCCTTTTTTCTTTTATCGCGCCCTTTCACCCATTTGGAACAGTCCCCATCCTGCACTGGCACAGCCGACTGTTTCTGACAGGCTGTAGGACTTTGTCTCAACTGATGCCACTGCCCCAGTGTGTGTGCAGTCACCTGAAAGTCATATCCCATCAGCCGATCCAAGCAGCACATTTAACCTGCGTCTTCTCTTTTCCATCATCCAAGTGCTTACGGAAAACACCAAAGAACTCAAACCAAAACCTTGCAGAACCTCACCAAACACAATCTCCTTCTCTGTCAATAGCCTGTCTCTGACTGGGGTCTTCCAGATGGACTTGGGGTCCATATAACTAAATGATGCAGGCAGCTTGATTCATCGAATCACAGAACAGCCCAGGCTGGAAAGGACTTGAAAGATCACCAGATACCTTTGTGTCTCCTTTTTCATACCAAAGGTCAAGTACATAACCAGACTACAGTTTCTGTAATACCACTTTGGCCATACCACGGCCAAAGGGAGACTCTGAGACCCTTCAGTCCCTCGTCTGACCTGCAGAGGAAGAAAGGAAGCAGGAAACATCTGAACTGCAACCCCCGTCCGCTAGTTTCAACACAGCTCTTAATTTTAAGCTTTCTGAGAGACAAAGAAAGAAGACCTGTACTCAGGCCCAGCTTACGCAATTAGGTAGGATATGGTCAAATAACTCCCTGTGTTATTAGCTATCATCCTCTGAGACAACCAGAACATATTAACACAAGCAGATATCTTAAAGTTAAGGAGAGGTGCAGGACCAAATACCTTAGCATTTGCAATTAGCACAATAAATGGACAGTCTTGGTACAACCAATTTCTGCCAATCTTAAGGAGCCAAATGATTTCCCACACTCCTTCCATTTTCCTGCTTTCCCTTTCCCATTTCATTCACCTAACTGTAAATGTTGGATGGCAGAGACTGTCTGTGTATATGCACACAGCCCGAAACAATGGCAGATGTTACCTGAACATGACAGCAACAGAATTGTTGAAAAAGTCACAGGATACACAAACTGCTCTGTCCCACTTCTATTTCCTTTTCTCGCAGCTTTGGTGGGACAGAGGAAGCCCAGCAATTCAAAATTTCCCCTTTATACAGGATCAGGAGCTTTCTATCTCTATTAAAGAAAAGTTCATCCAAATGTTACTTCTTATGCCAGCCTCATTTCTCAGTCAGTCACCCTCCTGTAAAACAGAAGCCAGGTCCCTTTTGATCGGTTTTACACCACGCTGGGCAACGACCATCAATTTAAGTCAACTCCCTACACACAAGCTCGGAGCTGAGCACACCATGCTGTGAACATCTCCTGGCTGTCATCGTGCCCACCACTGTGGCAAGCCATTGGCCACCCTTTGTCAGTCGTACCAACAGTCCTAATTGTAGCTGATGGGGCAATTGGGCTGAAAATCATCCAAAACAAAACAGGAATCAGCAACTGAGACCAATTGGTTAAATCAACAGAGCACTCACTCGGGTGTTCACGGAGTCAATTATCCACATCCCATTTAAAGCGCACTTCAAAAGGCCGCACTTCGGAAGGAGGAGGGAAGGAAACACGATAGGGTCTATATTTGGCTCTCTGATTTCCCAACAAGGCATAATCGGTTTTTAATTTTTGCAAGAGGATCTCTTCCCTTTAGCTAACTGCTGGGCACGTGAGATCCAAGCCACACTCCTCCCTCCTCCTGTATCACTCAGGACAAATTTTGTGTCTGACAAATTTTGCTCTCCGTTAATTTACGTGACCCCCACAGCCTCTAAATCATGCCCTTAATGAGCCTGATTCCTGCTGGTCTGCAGAGGGCTGGAGCTGAAGGGGGATAAACAACTTCCCTGTGTCATGCTACAAGGCAAAGAAGCCGATTCCTCCCCTGTGCTGTCTCAGCCTTATGGGAAAAGAACAATAAAAAGCAGTAACAATTTATTTACATCATTAGATACTCAATAAGAAGAAGGCAAATAATGGATTTCTCAAGTGGCTGAGCTGAAGTAAATAAGGGGGAAAAATTGACTTAAACCAATATCTGAATTATTTCTGTGACGTTTGATAAATTAAAAAACTAAAAAGCTTTAGGTTCAAGGCAAACTATTTCGCTCAACCTCAAAAGATTTATTCTCATTTTGGGATTCTAATTTTTGATTTATTTTTCCTTTTTTTTTTTTTTTTAAGAAGATTTCGAGTCTATTTCAAATGAAAAATGTCACTGTAGGGAAAAACAAATTAGATTTTGAATCTAGATGAAACATTTTAACATTTCTAAGGCACAGTGTTTCATTTCAATGTCTCTGTGAAATGTTTCATCATTTTCTGATCTTTTTTCTTGTGTGCTTGGAGAAAAATCTTCATAGATATAACTCATTCCAGTAAACTCAATGCGAATCTAAGCACATTATTTGAATTTGAAAGAGTATATTCACTAAGTTTCCCATTTCTGGCAAGCTTTATTTGTTGCAAAGACCTCACCTAACATCCTTTCAGTTGCCCTTATTAAAATGAAATAACAAAACAACACCTAGAACATATTAGGTGGAAGAGGCTCCAGGATGAGCATCCTCACCCCCAAGCACTACAAAGCCAACTGGGGATTCCAATGGAGACCCCAGGCAGAGGCAGTGGCCTCCTCCCTCCATCCCAGCTGTGCTTTGGGCTCTTCTTGCTGCTTTTTCCCTCCCCAGCGATGGGGATGAAAGTGTCTGAGCAGGCTTCCCTTGCTCAGGGCACAACTCAAAAGGCCAGAGGAGTGGGATGTGGTGGTGTCAGTGCGGGGTCAGCTCATTACACAAATGCACACAGACAACCTGGAGCTCATTACAGATTAGTCAAGTCCTGGCCAAATTCAATAAGCCTGTTCACAAGCTTAAGGTTAAATAAACCCTGGCCTGGAGGCAGGCCTGAGCATAGAGTGAAATAATGCAAAATGGAAAACTACCTTAAGAAACAGCTCCCCGAATGCTGTCAAGTACTGCACTCTGCTTGTGATTAGAGACTTTAATTATGAAGGTGGATACTGAAGGCTTGAAGTGCTGGGATTTTTTTCTTTTCCTAAATAAGTAGGTCCGCACATTCCTGCCTGAAAAGCCACAGAGTCACTTACTGAGATGTGCTCACAGAGGAACAGCTGGAAGCGTTTGTCTTGCAGCACGCTGCCCAGCTCTGAACCCAGCATTTCCAAGATCCTGTGTGATATGCCATGTGGAGAGCCAAAAAGTAATTACAGAGCCTTGGCATAATTATCTCCTCTCTCTCACTTTCCCTCTTCTTCTGTCACAAGCTCCAAGATCCAGCCATTCCCACTGGCCAACACCGAGATCCCTCCCAGTGCAGGGTCCCAGCGTGGGCACTGGAGGTACCTGGGGACATCAGCAGGGAGGAGGCAGAGACTACAGCCCAGTCCCACAGATAAAACTTCACTCTTTCTTGACATGGTTGTATATTCTTCCTCCAAACTCTTAGCCAAGGACAAGGTAAAAGAGTGGGATTTATGGGCTGGGGACAAGACAT